CAGGTCTTGCAGGACAGAGGTATATGACTGTCATTCCCACCTTACCAAGAGACAGCCCCCTTCACAAAAAAAGCAGTTACTTACGGTAACTCCTTTTCTAGGAGTTTTTCAGGACAACACCTTGAGACCTTGGCTCCTCCACCTGAGGAACCCCCCCCCCCCCCCCCCCAAAACCAAAAGGCCTGTCTCTCCCCTCATGACCTCAGTTCATGATCTAGCACCTCCGGTCACCTGGGGAGACAAAAAGCATAGCAAACCATATCTTATGAACCCATGCAACAGAGGGTGGGTAACTGATGCTGTCCTGAGACTCCTGTAAAAGGTGTTACCGTAAGTAACTTTGCTTTTTCCCTTCTTCGTCTTTCAGGACAGCACCTCGAGAGGATAAGCAAGCACTCACCCCTAGGGTGGGACCACTGCTTGTATGCTTGTAGAACCTTGCGTCTGAAGGCCTGCTCCTGCACTGAGACCAGGTCGGGTATGTAATGCTTGACAAAGGTGCCATAACTGGACCAAGTCGCAGCTCTACAGATCTGTCCCGGGGAAGCACCAGCCAGCTCAGCATGTGTGGCTGCCATGTCACAGGTAGTGTGCCATGAGGCCCTCAGCCAGATACACCTGTCCGATTGCTGGTCTTCGCCACCTAGCTAAAGTGTATCTGGAGGCCTTACAGCCCTTCCTTGTCTGAAAAAGAAAACACAAATCTGACTACCGGATCTCTTTTTAGTTTTCTCTAAATAAAGAACACATCTTCTCACGTCCAGCATGTGAAACTTCCTTTCCTGGTCACACAAGGGGTTAGAACAAAAAGAAGGTAAAGTAATATTCTGACCTCGATGAAATCTCAAGCTCAAGCCACCTTGGGGACAAAGCCTGGGTTCGTCCTAAATGTAACCCTATCCACAAATACCTGAAATAAGGGGGCTCTAATTGACAGAGCTTCTAATTCACTCACTTTCCTTGCAGTTGTAATTGTTACAAGGAAGGCCATCTTGAGAGTCGGGGACCTTGAATCCAGAGGTTCAAAGGGGGAGCCTGTCAGCACATTAAGTACCGTCATCAGATTCCATTTGGGAAAGGGTCTATCCTCTGCGGGTCTCTGGTCAAGGACCTAAAGAATCTTGCTACCAGCACCTCCTTGGCTAAAGGAGACTGCATAAAAACACTCAGAGCTGATACTTGGCTCTTTAGTGTACTAACGGCTAGGCTTGTCAGCCCCTGCCTGCAAAAATTCCAGGACTGAAACTAAGCTATAAGTCTCCCCGGAAGCTTGGATACACTATTTATTAAAGCACTTCCAGACCTTCAGATAGCCCGGGTCTCTTTTTTTCCTATTTAGGAGTGTGGAAACTAACCTGAGAACCCCTTGCTCAACAAGAGCTGTTACTCAGAAACTAGGCTGATAGGTTCCATCTGTCTACCCTGGGACACAGGACTGGTCCTTCCAGGAAAGGCAAAATCCAAGGAGGGTGGGTCACTGGGGCCACCAGCGTCAAAAACCATGCTCGTCGAGGCTATTAGGATCAGGGAGGTCTGCTCGGATCTGAACTTCCTCTGTACTGCTGGCAACAAAGGGACTGGGGGAAAAGCATAACACGGGAAAATCCCACTGCTGTGCTAGAGCATCCACTGCCAACGCCCCGTCCCACCAGTTTAGGGAGAAGAAAACCAGAACCTTGGTGTTTTGGCTTGATGCAAACAGGTCTACGGATGGAGACCCCCCCCCACTCCCTTTTGATGGCTTGGTAGACCTCCCCAATCCATCCGGAACCTCTTGTACTTGATGGCCTCGTTCAAGGGCTTCTGATTTAGAATCAGCCTGTATGATCCCGATGCCTTTTGGATGACAAAGATGTGCGAATAGAATCCCTTGCCGATCTCTGTGATGGGGATTCTGACAACGACGTTCTGTTCCTCCAATTCCTGTATAGAAGAGAGTAAGGCTACTGCTTTTTTTTTTTTTTGCGCACCTTGGCAGGTTCGTCACCTCCGAAATTCCAGGCGGTACCTTCTCCTCACTATATCCAGGATGAAGGGATTGGAGAGCTCTGCTTCCCACTGTGGGAGGAAGACCCCCAACCTTCCCTTTGGTGGAACAAAGTCATTGCGATTTCTGGGGCTGCTCAGGAGGATGGAAAATCGCTCCTCCTTTGCACCTAACTTTCTGCCCCCAGGCCTAAGGGCCTGAATTTTCTTTTGGTGACAAAACTTTTTTGCCGCTACTCCATGTTCCATGCGGTGGTGGGCATGGCAGGCTTTAAGTTGTACAGTGTGGAGTCCCAGGATTTCTTAAGGGAATCTGCCACCTGTCCATGGTGTCTGACAAGACCCCCATATCCTCAAAGCCAGATCCATCCTCCTGGCTACCTGAGAAAAAGCAGCGTCCAACTTGGGGCTCTTATTCCATAACACAGAAGGGTCCTCGTCGACTGGGAACCTGCGTCTGAGGTATTTGGCAAAGAAAGACTTCCTTTTGGGGTCCTGCCATTCCCTCTTAATAGTCTCCACCAACACCTCATGGACGGTGGAAACTGTCTTTGCTCCTTCATACCCTGATGCATTTGATCATGTAACGTCAGGGCTTCTTATCCTCAATGTCCAAGGTGGCATAAATAGCTCCTAGCAAGTCGTCAACCTCCTCCAGGGACAACTTGTAGCTAGAGGAGCCTCTAGGCTCATCTGAGGGGACCTCCCCATCTGAATCCTCTGAATTCGAGCCCAGGGATGGGTTGCCCTCCACCGCCTCGCTCCTCTGGCCTCCCGTCCCTCTACTAGTAGAAATGACCAACTCAGGCTGTTGGAGGGGAAGGGGTGCGGTCCACGTCTGAGGCAAGCCTATCTTCTCGACAAGAGACTAAAGGAATCAAAGGTAGTCTCAGCTCTCTAACTGCCTTAACCAGGTCCCCGAGAAGAAATCTCCTCCCTAACCAGCCCTTCGATACAGGACTTACACAGCACCTTCTTCCAAAACTCCTTGAGGGTCACTTTACATGAAGGGCACTTCCTTCTAGACCCCTGGTGCATCTTGAGCTTCTCACTGGCCTTTTACCTGAAAGATGAAGAGGAAATCCAGGGGACCCATTACCTAAGGAATGCCTGCTGACCGCCCCCCCCCCCCCCCTCTCCTCCGGCAGGGAGTGGGAGACTACAACCTGAGACTCTCCCTCCCTCCCAACCCCTGGCACCTCCGACCACCAGAGGGCTGGGGGACCACAGCTAGGGGTAAAAGGCACCTCTGAGCCGCCTACCTGCAGCTGGCTGGTGCTGGCCCCACCTGGTCCCAGTGCCTGTGCTCCAGCCATCCTCAGAAGGTGATCGCCTGCCTCTTCAGGATGCTGCACTCACACTGCCGAAAGGAGCTCCCCCTTGTTGCCTAGGACGCAGCCAGAAGCCATGTCCTGGGAGAAGTCCCTCCTCTTCCCCCAGAAGTGACGTTGCCCATCATCTGGCCCACCCCCAGCTCCAATGCCAGCACAACATGGGACTTCTCCCCCAGTCCCTCTGGACACAGGAAACAAAGGCCCCCAGCCTTCCCTCAGTGGGGGCCGGGACGAAACATGACAGGTAAGCAAACCCCCCACCTGTCTCCCTACAGAGGGGGTTCGCCTGTCAAAGAAGGCTGTGGGGGGTAACCACCAGGCACACACACCTCCACTGCCATTCTCCTCTCTTGAGTACCAGGCTCACCCAGTCCTCTAACCGCACCTGGACTGGCCTCCACAGTATGTCTCCCTCTGGAGGAAACACCGAAAGTGAGGGGAGAGGCAGGCCTTTTGTTTTGGGTGGAGGGGTTTCCTCAGGTGGGGAGGAGCCGAGGTCTCTCAAGGTGCTGTCCTGAAAGACGAAGAAGGGAAAATATACTACGGGGGGCCTGGAAATATTTCACTTGGTGTGTACATAGGCTCTTCAACCCCTAAGATAACTCTGTACCTTGCATTGTAGTCTTCCTACAGTCAAGACTTGAGCAGAATTTGGCCTTAAGTGCTCTTAAAGGACAGGTTTTAGTGTTTGCTCCCAGTTGCATCAAAGCCGATTTTGAAATTGTGCGACTTACAGTGAAGTTGCACGATTTCAAAATCAGGTGACCTGCCGCTTTCAGTTGTGATTTGCAAAACATCTGACACAGATGTCTATGCAAATTGTAACAAAAGTAGTGCATGCACTACTTTAGAAATTGGTGTGGCTCTGACCAAGTCAGAACCACACCAATATAACCGCTCTGATAGCGGACAACAGGGTGCAACTTGGCAAGCAAATCTCACCCGATGTGACCGGGGTGTAAATCCAAAGCCTCAAGCTTTCCCACGTTAGAACCTTTATCCACGATGTCTCACATATTAGACATAACAGCGTCATGTGCTTTCCTGGGATCTCCCTGTACTCCAAAACCCACCCTTTGAACCCATTAGGGAACTCCCTTTAGGCGACTGCTCCTGTAAAGTGTCTATCACATCTGTTAGAGTTGGGAGGCTCCATCATGCAATGCAAAGAGCCTTTTCGGATTCTCCACAAAGATAAAATTGTTTTGCATCTAGGATCCTCCTTTCTACCAATGGTGGTTTCAGTCCCCCACCTTAAAGGGTTAGTTCACCTTTACCAAAAAAAACTTCCTATGCAGATAAGGGGTGGCTGGAGATAAATTTAAAAAAAAAAAACAGCTCTGACTAAAGTTGAATAATGCCTTTGCTACAGGTGTAGACCATTTACATACCTCATGAAGCCTGACTGGAATACTCCCAGGATGTTGCTAAGTGAGTCCTAGGCATTACTTCTCACCTCCACCATCACAGAGTGAGCTCTCAGACGCTGAGCTCAGAGCTACATCGGGAGAGGAAGCATGTGAAGAGGTCTGAATCAGAGAAAAAGCTCACTTCTGTGATGGAAGGGGTGAGCAGTAATGACTGGGCCTCACTTAGCAACATCCTAGGGCAGTGATGGCGAACCTTTTTGAGCCCGAGTGCCCAAAACTGCAACACAAACCAACTTTTTTATTTCAAAGTGCCAACACTGCAATTAACCACTTGCCTACCTGGACGCACTGACAGACGGCACTGATCGGTGGCACTGCTGGGCATCATTGATGGGTGGCACTGATGGGCGACACTGCTGGGCACTGACAGGTGGCACTGCTGGGCAGCACTGACAGGCGACACTGCTGGGCACTGATGGGTGGCACTGATGGGCAGCACTGATGGGCGACACTGCTGGGCACTGACAGGCACACTGCTGGGCACTGACAGGCGACACTGCAAGCAGTTAATCTCACCTCTGGCAGCGTCGGTGTGGCTTCCAACGCAGCAGCTCATTCCCATTCATGCTGAACACGTTGCCCCTTGGCCCCGGAGCAGTGTGGGAGCCTCTTCCGCGCCCCATCCCCGGGTACATCACCCCTGGTGCCAGAGCCGCATTGGAGCCGTTTCCTCTCGTCCACGCCCACCCTGGCCCCAGAGACATGTGGGAAATGTAGTTTGATGGGGGTCCAGTGTGGACGAGATCTGGATGGCCGGTCCGTGTGCGCTCATCATCCTCTTCTTCCTGGCGTGCCCACTGAGATGGCTCTGCGTGCCAGCTCTGGCACGCGTGCCATAGGTTCGCCATCACTGTCCTAGGGAGTATTCCAGTCAGACTTCATGAGGTACGTAAATGGCCTACACCTATATCAAGAACATTATTCTACTTTAGTCAGAGACACACAATTTGTTTTAATCTAGACGTCTCTTACCTGCATAGGCAGTTCTTTGGTGAAGGTAAACTATCTCTGTAACCCTTTCACTGCCAGAGCTAGTTTTTGCATTTTTTTTTCTCTGCACCCGTATAAAAAAAAAAATTATTTCATGCTTGAAGATTACATAAAACCCCCAAAACATTTTCTGAAAGCAGACACCCTAGAGAATAAAATAGTGGTAGTTGCAATAATAACCCTCCTAGCTTGTAAGCTCCAAGGAGCAGGGGTATCCTATGCCTCTTGTATTGAACTGTATTGTCTCCCTTTATATTGTAAAGTGCTGAGCAAACTATTGGTGCTATATAAATCCTGTATAATAATAATAATGTGAGACATGAAAAATTGGAAAGGTCTGGGAAACACAATTTCAGTAAAAAAAAAATCAGACTAAAGTGAATTTTAGCGCAAACAAATGCAATAAATTACCCACATTTTTACCAAGTAAATAGATGCCCAGCATGCCAAACGTTAAATTTGTGTGCCCCTATAGGTCACCCTGCTGTCTCCTCTGGGCTCCATTAGATGTATTGCAATGCAAACCACATTGTCATGGATGTCGCCTTCCAGTTGACACAAAGAAGGTGAGGGAAGAGGACGTTTGGGCCCACAGATGGGCAAGTGGAGCCCATTTACATGGCGGGAGTGCATGGCAGTGAAAGCGATTGGCAGCTGCAGTGCAGGAGTCTGCCTGTCAGGTTTATACACAATCCCAGTAGCTGCAGCCACTGGATTGTGTATAAACCCCCCCGCACCAAAAGTGTTAATTACATCATTGTTCTTCCTTCTGTGTCCTGCTCCAAAGCATCCCCCCAAAAATGCTCTCCATTGTCTGGACATGGTCAGTTATCAGCAACATCCCCAATATGAAAAACAGACTATCACAGATAAGCCAAGGCATCGAGAGGACTTGCACACAAGGATAAAGGTACCCCCTACTACATGCTCCACCAGACTGCTTGGAGATTCCTGGGCTGACATCAAGCTTCTGTTGCCCAACTTTGTAAGAATACTGCCTAATCTGCAGTCCATATCTTCAATCACCTGAAGGTAGCAGCCTATAACCTATGAATGAATAACCATCTTGTGTCCTGCACTGCACTATATGGAACTTAGTCTATTTTTGTACTCACCTTAAACACCTTTAGAAACTAAATTCCAGCCATTAATTACTTCCCAACCAGCCTATAGTAAAATGACAGCTGGGTGAGCCTCTTATCCCTCGGGTAGGGCATCATATGACATCCTTTCTGGATCGCGATCTGTGTACCGGTCCCCGTTGCCAGTACCATGTGACCTGCTGTGACCGATCACAGCAGGTCACATGACAGTTGTATACAATGGATGGCTTCCTTTCAGGCAATCCATTGTATACAAGTGTGTCTAGCTGTGAATAGTCAGTGATCACATGCACAGGTTGGGCCAATCACAGCAAAAAAGCTGAATGCATAATTTCATTCAGTTAAATGCTTGCTTATAGCAAATAATGTATTTGCTATAAGCAATTAAATTGTGTAAACAAAAAATACTGATCACTTCCCAAAAGTAGTACAATGTTACTATGGTAACATTATACTACTTTGATCATAGTGTAATATGAAAAAAAAATCTTAAGAGAAAAAAAAAAGTAATAACAAAAATCAAAAAGTGTTTTCGTACTGTCACCAGTCAGTGTCTCGGATCACCACACCAGTTATATGAGGGTGCTGTACTGCACTGGTGACAGTATGTAACAAAAAAAATTGTGGAAATCTTTATAATTTCATTTTCCAAAAAATGACAACTTCAAAAAAAAACTCACCATGCCTTTTATGAAATACGTCGGACTGTCTATTTTGCAAAAAAGGGTAATTTGGGGGATATCTGTATTGTTCTGATATTTTTAGGCCTCAAGAAATTAGATTGGCTGTCAGTACTTCAGGATTGATCAATTTTCAGATATATCCCATAGTTTGTGAACTCTATAACTTTCCTACAGAATAAATAATAAACACTGATTTGGGTTATTTTCACCAAAGAAATGTAGCAGAATACATCTTGGCCTAAATTTATGAAGGCCAATTATTTATTTGCAAACTTTTATAACAAAAAAAAAAACCTTTTTTTTTTTATCAAACTTTGTTTTTTTTTAATTTAGCAAAAAATAAAAACCCCAGCGGTGATAAATACCACCAAAAGAAAGCTCTAGTTGTGTGAACAAAATGATAAAATTTTAATTGGGTACAGTGTTGCATGACCGCACAATTGTCATTCAAAGTGTGAGAGTGCTGAAACCTGAAAATTGGCCTGGGCAGGAAGGGGGTAAAAGTGCCCAGTATTAAAGTGGTTAAGACTAAAACCTCTCACACCTGCTAAACTGTGGCAAGCAGTCCAAAGAGAATATAAGCGCATATGACCCATGCCCCTCAGCAGATTCCAAGAAAAGGATTTTTTTGGAGAATACAAATATAGAGTAACTACACTTTTCTTGAGGGGAAAAAAAAAAAAAAAAACATTCCCCGCTGGGTGATCGATGTACATTGCAAGTATTTTAAACTTTGTTGCAGAGTCCTACGTTTTGTTATTCTGAAGAAAGAGCTGTTTGTATCCATGTGGATCTAATGGGAGTGGTTTCATAATTCTCTCAGCTGCTGCACTTGCATGGTTTGAATGAGGAAAATATCAGGGTCTGCATCCCTTTAGATGTGATTTCCTATTTTTACGCAGGGGATACCTGAAATCTGATTTGTATCTTAGTGCAGATGTCTGAATGAGCTAATCACACATGCAGGTAATGTTTCTGGGTGGTGTTCTGTACACATTCTGTATACAAAACACCTCCAGGTAGCCATATTGCATTTTACAGAACATTACTACAAATTGAAAAGGAAATGTCATTTTTATTAATATTCACTGTTTTTGGTAGAAATGATATTTCTACATGGCAAATAATTTACTAGTAGGTGTAGTAGAGTAATAGAAATCCAACAGACCCAACAGTCATGGCATGGATGCTGCTGATTCTGTGTAATTGACTCACTAATTGAAAGGGGCATGTTCAAAATAATAGCAGTGTGGAGTTCTATTAGTGAGGTCATTCATTCTTTGAAAAACAGGTGGCAATTATTGCCCTTATTTATCCACCTTCCACCATAGTACAATGACGGGCGCAAGGTGGTTCTCTCGTTCTGATAGGATGTCATATGACGTCCTTCCATTCTCACCGCGCATGCGCGGCTCAGGGAGTGCACAGTGCGGCGATTGCCGGTGCGCTGTGTCCCTAGGACACAGCAGATCACGGAAAGAGCCGAAGATGTCAGCTCGGTCATGTGATCAGCTGTCTCCAATCACAGCTGATCACATGTAAACACGGAAATGCCAGTTATCGGCATTTCTCTCCTCTTGAGCGGTTACGCTGACAGCTGGAGAGGAGAGCCGGTAATCAGCTTTCCGCGGAGGAGACATGTACACTGATCATCAGGGCACTGATGATCAGTGTGCCCTGATGATCAGTGTGGCCCCATCAGTGCCACCTGTCAGTGCCCATCAGTGCCACATCATGCCAGTGCATACCAGTGCACATCAATGCCACATATCAGGGCCCATCTGTGCTGCCTTTCAATGTCACTCATCAGTGCCAGTCAGTGCCACCTATCAATGCCAGTCAGTGTTGCCTATCAGTGCCCATCAGTGATGCCTGTCAATGCCCATCAGTGCCACCTATCACTGCAGCCTCATTAGCGCACATCAGTGAATTAGAAAAATCATTTAGTTTACAAACTTGTATAACAAAAACTAAGAAAAAAATATTTTTTTTTTTTCAGTGATTTTTGGTTTAAGAAAAAATAAAAATCCCAGAGGTGATTAAATACCACCAAAAGAAAGCGGTCTCAAAAAAATGATAAAAATTTCATTTGGGTAGTGTTGCATGACCACGCAATTGTCAAAGTGCGACAACGCTGAAAGCTGGAAATTGGCCTGGGCAGGAAGGGGGTATAAGTGCCCTGTAGGCTAGTGGTTAAGGAAGGACGGCAGCAAATGTTGTACATGCTGGTTACAGTGCATTTCTCTCTGAAATTCTGAAGAAAATGGGTCGTTCCAGACATTGTTCAGAAGAACAGCGTACCTGAATTAAAAAGTTGATTGGAGAGGGGAAAACATATAAAGAAGTGCAGAAAATGATAGGCTGCTCAGCTAAAAATGATCCAAATGCTTTAAAATGGCAACCAAAACCTGAAAGACGTGGAAGAAAGCTAAAAACTACCATTCGAATGGATAGAATAGCCAAAATGGCAAGGACTCAGCCAACAATCAGCTCCAGGAAGATCAAAGAAGGTCTAAGGTTACCTGTGAGTACTGTTACAATTAGAAGACGCCTATGTGAAGTCAAGCTATCTGCAAGAAGCCCCCGCAAAGTCCCACTGTTGAAAAAAAAAGACATGCTGAAGAGGTTACAATTTGCCAAAGAGCACATTGACTGGCCTAAAGAGAAATGGTGCAACATTTTGTGGACTGATGAAAGTAAGATTGTTCTTTTTGGGTCTAGTGGCCGGAGACAGTTTGTCAGACGACCCCCAAACACTGAATTCAAGCCACAGTACACTGTGAAGACAGTGAAGCATGGTTGCGCAAGCATCATGATATGGGGATGTTTCTCATACTACGGTGTTGGGCCTATTTATCGCATACCAGGGATCATGGATCAGTTTGAATACATCAGAATACTTGAAGAGGTCATGCTGCCTTATGCTGAAGAGGAAATGCCCTTGAAATGGGTGTTCCAACAAGACAATGACCCCAAACACACCAGTAAACGTGCAACATCTTGGTTCCAGACCAACAAGATTGATGTTATGGAGTGGCCAGCCCAATCCCCGGATCTTAATCCAATAGAAAACATGTGGGGTGACATAAAAAAATGCAGTTTATGAGGCAAAACCAAGAAATAGAGAAGAACTGTGGAATGTAGTCCAATCATCCTGGGCTGGAATACCTGTTCACAGGTGCCAGAAGTTGGTTGACTCCATGCAACACAGATGTACAGCAGTTCTCAGAAACAGTGCTTATACAACCAAATATTCATTAAGTGATTCAAAGGAAAGCAAAATCTTCAAACATTTTTCAGTTTATATAGTGAATGTTTGAGTTTGTTAAAAAAAAAAATAGCAGTGTTTGTATTCTTCTTTACAGTCTAATATTCACTTTTCTTCCATTTTTTTTTTTTAGAGGAACACAAATTTGATATATTTTTCTTCATGTTTTGATTTGGAATAGAATGTGTGGTGTTCCCAATGCATTTGTGTGTATGGAAATAAAAGCTATTAGAAGGATTTTGAGCTTTATTCACTTTTTTCAACACACTGCTATTATTTTGAACACAAATGTATATGTTTTTTTTTAATCATTTATTTTGTTCCTCCCCCACAAAAATGGAGTTACCCTTTAAACACTTGTTCAATCAATGACATGACATCAGTGGGGATTTACATTTTTAATAGCAATCATGCACAATCATACACAATCTTATTTAAAACGCATTAAAATGGAGGTGAGGGAAGGAGATCTGCCGGAGTGCTTTACTGCTTCGGTTGCGAAGGGGACAGTGTGGGGCGCAATTCAGCGCATCACATGGCTCCCTTTTTAATGTACAACTTTTTTTGAAATGTACAGAACGCACACTTCATTCATGGCAATGTACAATGTAATGCGCTACTGTACATTGCCATGCGATTCGGCATTGTGTGCCACCTTTAGTAAATCAGCTAGCTGGTGGCAGGCAGGCCATATCTCACCTTTGCTTTCCCCCCCCCCCGGTGCCAAAAAGGTTGGAAACTGCTGCTCTGGATCACTAAGCCAACAAAAGTATGCACAATAAGTGTGTGACATTAGTCTGACTTTTGTCACATGCTTGTTTTGGTGAGCGATTTAGGTAGTGAAGTCAGACTGGCAGATGACAAACAGAAGCAGGCCAAGAATAAGTATCCATTTTGTGCCCAAAACAGATTTTCATATAAAAAAACAAAAAAAAATCCCTTAAGACACACCAGGCTTTAACATTAGGACAGTGTGGGTCTGTGAAAGTACAACTAATGACAAAACCTTTTTTTTTTTTTTTTTTTTTTTAAAGTCTTGGACAGAGTGGAGAGGGATTAGAACACCTTTTAGGTTTTTAGTGGGGGGGGGGGGGGGGAAAACACCTTTCATGGGGACAGTAGTTCTGGCGAGCTGGAAGGAGGGGAGGGGGCTTAATTTGCAGGGATTTCCTTTTTTTTAGTTTTAGCCATGGAATAGTAAGTGAAGGTAAATCTCCCAAATGGGACACAGATTGGAAAACCCAACATATAACCCAACAGGGGCTATAACTCTACCTTGTGTTATCCCAAATGGGGGGGGGGGGGGGGGGGGGGGGGGGGAAGGTTTTGTCTAAAGTTTTCTTTAAATCTGGATATGGCATACTGTTTTTACTAGGCATAGAGGACATCATTGGCTGGCATTGTTTTAGAAAAGAGGGTGCAGTAACCCACATGAACCAATCAGAAGCCACTTTTCAAATAAACTGAAGTCTATTGGTCTCTGCTCTAGGGACTGCTGTCGTGAAAAAAATCCTCTTGTTCTATCCCTCGGCATAATGGGGATGATTTACTAAATTGTTTAGTTTTGTTTTATCTTCAACTTAGCCCAATAAAAAAAAAAACTGTATTCACTGCTGTAGTAAATCATCCCTAATATGTGGGTAGCTCAATAGAGGGAGATTAACATATCAAGCAAAAAGTGTCAACTTTAAAGCAAATATGAAATATATAAAAGACAAGCGCGGTGTGTGTGTGTGGTGCCACCACTATGCACTCACCAGAATGCGACTTGTACAGTAGCAAAAGATCAATGCAAACCGCTCCCCAAAGTCCACAGGATCGATGACCTCCTAGGAGAAATGCAAGCCATGTCTGCAACAAACCATTTCTGCTCGTCATCCCCACGATTCCCAGCATTAGGGCTCCTGTCGGAGCCTCCTGAGTGCCTGAGTAGCATTCTGGTGAGTGCACAGTGGTGGCGGAACATTCACCGGATCTTTTAAGCACTGTGTGGAATTGGACACGTTTGTGCTCTCCAGCATCACTGACACACAGATCTGTTTCTGGAAGGACTCTATTTGTTGGTTTAATTGCTTACATTGTTTTTGTTCTATTTACTTGTCTATGTATTATTTCATTGATTGCACCAATTTGCACATATACCTTTGACACTGTGCCTAATCGGTGGACTTTTTGTATGCGCTGCACTTTATATACTTGCCAAAGCAAATATGGTTCTCCAATATTCAGCACCAAAACATCATGAAGCAGAGAACAGGTCTAATAAGATCCTGTTTCCTTATATAAATACCATATCAAATACTCAGAGTAAACTGCATTGGCTCACAGCTGATTAAATTATAACTTAATGTTATTAAATATTGATAATGTGACTAACCAAACAAACTATCTGTTCATGTCACTGAAGTAAAAAAATAAAACCATGAAACTTGTAAACCACAGATTCGCACAGGCAGTTCCTGGCAGTGGAGATCCTGTGTCATTGCACATGGTATGTGGAACTGCCTGGAGGACATCACATAGTGGTCAGCTTCATAGTGCTATGAAAGCGTTCAGCATTTCCATGTGTACTTGTAGTCGCTCAGTTCCAGCTGGCGTAATGAGGTCTTTCCAAGTATTGATAACTGACTGAACTGTTCTAAAGAAAGAGGGTGAAGTCCACAGTTTTCAAGCTCAGTGCTGTCCTTCTCCTGGGGGTGTGTAAAAAAAAAAAATATATTATATGTACATATACACACACACCTTAAAGTGGTTGTAAACCTCAGACATGAACTATGAACAAAGCATATCCCTCTACAGTATATACTTGTCTCAATAAAGAGAACCAGGTGTGATTTCTGTCTGCTGCTTTCTTCCTCTATCAGCATGAATCACTTCTGACAGGTTTTCCTGACACCAACAGAAAAATGGTGACAGGGCAAGGACCTCCAGCCTCAGCTCTGTTCCTATGTGGAGGGGTTGTGTCTCTTCCCTCCAATCAGCTCTCCTCACTGAGCTCTGCAGAATGTTCTTTCAGCTCTCCACCCACTTTTTTTCTGAACTATTAGACAAGCTTTATAATTTTAGTACTTTGAACAGATGTAGCGAAGAAAAAACTGCAGATAATCAGGTTCGACTTACGTAGGAGAATTTGTTTCTGTGTATCACCTGAGGCCAGTTACTTCACTGGGTATAGGTAAGGGTTTACAACCACTATAAGCAAATCATGTGAATAAAAACCTGTATAAATGTGACAGCAAACTTGAGTATTGGAAAAGAGATCCCTGAGCTGCAATTGCTGACCTCCTTGAAATGCTACCTGGCCATCTTTGGCATCAGTTGCTTAAATTGCTGACCTACAAAACCAAAACACCTAAACTGCATACTTGTTGCTGGTCAATACTTAAAGCGGAGTTCCAGTTGGAAAAAAAAAAAGTCAGCAGCTACAAAAACTAACTGCTCACTTTTAAAATGGGGGGGGGGGGATTCCAGGAAGTAACTGCTACATGAATCCATCTGCCCTTACTCAAGATGGCCACTGCCAGAAAGTGTTTTTCAAAATGATCTCAGCAAAAATAAAGCAAGGAGACAGATGGATGAATTAGTTTGTTTTGAATATTAAAAATTAATTATATAGCATTTTTGGTTTGTGGTGCAGTTCCACTTTAAGGCATTGTATCAG